TATTTCCGTTACTATTATAAACATATGTGTTAGATGCAAAATATTAATAAGGGATGGAATATCATGGCCCCCAAAAAAAAAATAGTCTATTGCCTTCAATGGAATGTCTGACCCTGTTGTTATCATTTGGTATAAAGCATTGTCCACACTATCAAATATTCTTTGACAAAAAAAACTGTTGTATGCCCATATATAGGCATCATGTGCCTATATATGGTCATGATGTGACATCATCATGACCATATTTAGGCATGTCACATGTTTTTGTCCAATAAAATTTGATAGTCTGGACAGGGCCTAAGACCATCATAGTCATTATGTGCATATATATGGGCATACAAGTTTTTTGGACAAGTCTTTGTAGTGTTGAAACTATCATGAATACTTGAAAAGGTTACAGTAGCAAAAAAAATAAACCTCTTCTAATTAAACAATTAATTATAAATAATAAAATTAATATTTACCTGGAATTCTGTATTTGCAACGATATTAGTGATACCCTGGAACCATGTGTCGCCTTGGTTACCTGACAGAGTCCAGGTTAATTTCAAGTTGCCTTGTTCATCCTTGATATATACATTCAAATCTCCAGTTCCTAGAAATTCATAAAATCAGAAATACAATTCGTTCAGTGTGGTTAAAAAATTGACACACTTCAATGATCTGTGGGTAGTTAATCATGAGGCTGTGAAGTAGCGTAGCTTTTAAACTGGACATACATCAGATTTGTGTATTTTAGACTATGTTAGACTCAAAAGAAACAGTTTGAACATACATTGTTGGATGAAGTACAGCGGTTAGTACAACTTTTAACTGACTACACAAATCAGAATTAATGCCATCACATGCTGGGACAATCATTTATTCTATTTTTGTGGTAGGCGTGTTTTTAAAGGAACAATGAAAATTAATTGGTTTAACCATGCATGTTTGTGGGACATGTGTGTGTTTCTTCGGGATGTTCTGATTGGTCAGTTGTTAATTTTTATTGCCACTCCAGAAAGGTCAAATGAACTAATAATCCAAGCATTGGATGATGACCACAATGCCACAGTTTCATTTAAATTTATGAAAATATTTGCGGACATTGCTCACCCAATAAAAATACAAAACTTTGATAGTAAGATTTGTGGACATACCTTGGCCATACATGTGGTACCAGAAGTACAAGCAAGCATCATTTGTAGCTGGTAGGTGTTCTGAAACAAACATTGCATTATCGCCTACCCCCAAGTTTCCGGTACTCATCTCCACAAACATGTAGTAACCTAGATTATTAAACAAACACAAATTCAACTTTAAAGTACTGCAATTAAGTATCATATTAAAGGGGCAACCCCACATGTGCATGTAATAATTATGTATGAGCCCACATCATTTCATTCCATTTCTATCTCTCAAGAACCTAAAACCTTAGATATGTAAGATGTACAAGAAATCAATTGATAAATCTGAATTTTGAAGTTATGTTTACCATATTTTGTTCCACTGGTGTGATCTTTGCTTGGTCCTGTGTAAGCACTTGGGGTG